GGGAGAGGAGGAGAGGGCCAGCACGCAGGCGGTCCTCCGAGGAGTCGGCCGGGACGGCCCCTCCCTCCGCGCAGCCCGCTCCACCACCACCCGGACGAGCGTTAACCCGTCACCGCGGCCGTGGGCGGTGCGCGGGGCTTCCGGGTTCCTCGGCGCTAACCACCCCCCACGTGCGTGGCCGCCGAGGGTCTCTTCCCGTCGCGCCTGGCCCTGCTGCGTTTGTGGCTGGCGGGGGGGGGGGCGCCCGGGGGGAGGGATGCCCCCAGGGGCTGTTGTGATCCCCCGCACGCCCCGTTTCCGAAACATGCGTGAAAGGAGCCAGAGGTGGCTCCCCCTTTCTCCTACCGGAACCGCACTACGAGTCCCAGCGGGCAGCGCCGCCCCGCGCGTCGGCCGCAGAAGCGTTGCCTGCTGGGAGCTGGAGTCCCAACGGCCGCGGGCTCGCTGACTGCAACTGGCCGCGGGTCCTGGCCGCCCCCTCGAGGACCCCCAACCGTCCGGGCCTGGCGAACCCCTGCCGTCGCCCCGGTGCTACCGATAGAGGAGGGGGAGGGGAGGGTTCTTTGGGTTCCTTGTCCTCTGGCCTCCCAGTCCAGCTCTCCTCCGTCCTTACGGGACACTGTCGGGCAAAGGGGCTTTAACTGGGAAAGCTGCCTTGGGGGTCTTTGATCAGTACCTTAAGGTGCTAGGTTGGAATCGCTAATTCGTGCTACTTCTGCCTGATATTTCTTTGCGGTAGAGAACAACTGGAGAAAAATGTTTTTTCTTAAAGTGTGCGTTTCTCTCAGCCACTGGCATATGGCACCACAGCCCTGCAACCAGACAAAATTAGTAGTCTAAAACAACACAATTATAAATGTTTAAAACAATTTTGTACATTAGTTGTGGGCTTTAAATTTAATAAATCTATAGCCATAAAAATGCTGGCGATAGGAATGACATTAAGTCAACATATAAATTTCACTTTAAAGTAGTAATGTGCTTTTACAGTTTTTAAAGCACTTGCATAAACATCCCATCATTTGTCCCTGACAG